CACTTCGCCGGGTATGTTTTCTGTGTTCTTTCTCCCCATCTGTTGCTCTGCAGGCGCTGAGCGAGAGTTTAGCTGGAGGTAACATTAACTGTAAGTAACTCCAGTTAAAGCCATCTGCAGCAGGCAGAACACGTCGGACTGCAGCAGATGCACGTCTGAGAGAAAACTCCAGATTCAAAACCAAGTGTCTGAAATATTCCTGCTTCTTCCTACCATGCTTCTATGGTATTTCCAGCTGGTAGCTACCTACTGAACCATTTCCACCTGCTGTATTACTGTAACTCTTCTGACACATTCTTCTAGTTCTGCTCTATCATCAGTTTGAAAGCAGTGTTTCTCTGGTAATGAGCACATCATCACTGCAAAAATATTTGGAGCTGTAGAAAAAGGAAATAAAGACCTTCTTAAAATATTTTACAAACTATTCTGAGCACTGAAAATGTATTTCATCAGTCATTTTACTTGCTACACTCTCACAGACTGATGCAACAGAAACCACTATGGGCAAGATGGGTTTATTTGTTTAGCACCTTCTGAAGGTAAAGTGGTTTGTATAAGACATAAAAAGGCATTATAAAATATTAAACAGGAAAAGAAGCTTGTGCAGGGCAAGATATGGGAAAAATAGTTTAATGTAACAAAGAGCAGAAAAGTCGTGGAAGTTTTTTAGGTGTGACTTTCCCAACACATTAAACCTCCTCTCTCTGACTAATGAAATGAAAGGTGACGTTAACGACTGGTGGCCACCAGGGTTGTTGGCTTTTAAGAGGCTCTCTGGCCACTGAAGGTACAGCAGGTTGTTGGATTGTAGTTTAATGCTACAGGATGTGGATGCACATTGTGTAAGGATCTCCCTCATGTCTTGTCACAGTGATCGTGCCCTGTGACTGGCTGCAGGACCTTCATTCAGAAATCAGTCATTCAGAAATCAGTGAGCTTCTCTTCATTTCTCCTTCTTTTGCTTTTCATTTCTAAAGCAGAAGAAAGAGAGGAAAGGAAACATGCTTCGGTCAAGAAGAACAGATTGGACACAACATCCACAGCATGGGCTCAAAAGAGTCGGCGGCTTTTTTCTCCAGCAGCTGTTTTCACTGATTAGTTTGTCCTCTGTGGTCGAAGTCTTGTAAGATACAACTTTTTTCTAGTTGAAATTTAAAAAAAAACTTTCATGGGGTCTTTTGACATGTATCCATCATCCTATAATCGCCTGATGGCAACGCACCGGGGCGGGGGCAACATGAAATGAAATGGCAGCAGATTTTCCACTTAAATCAACGGGCCCTTCAGTTAAAACGGAATCAGACAAACACATCTTCTCATTCCTCGTCTGCAACCTCTGACTTCACTAAAATTACCAGTGTCGCTGGTAGATTTCATCAGCTGTAGCAATTGTTCCTAATTAACTGGGTGGCTAAGAATTCATTTCATTTCAAACTGAGGGTTAGGCTGTCCCCACAACACAGGTTTGTGCACGTGTTCTAAAAACAGGAAGTTAATTATTCTAGTCTGGCTGCAGCAGTGACACGGACAATGGAGGTGAATACAGGAGACGTCTATAAAACCCGATTGCTGCAGTTTGTGTCAAAAATCAGACACGTCTGAACACAAAGACGAGATGCAGGCATTCTTAGATTCAGTGTGACTTACATTTTCTGTGGGTCATTAACTGATGTTCATTGAGAATAACTGTCAATAAACCTTCTTAGAAATCACAGAAGAAACACTTCTTATAACTGCAGCACCTGCCTGAGAATCATCAGAGTTTTAGGTTTTCCTCGGTATCAGAGTTATCCAGTGGTGGTTGTCTGTACATCCAGTGGTTCACAGCAAACAGGAGCTGCTAGTGGTGAATTCAGCTTACCTAAAGTGCCAAAAATGTAAACATAAGTAGGCTAGAAACTGGGCTGAAGCTTAGTTCACTGTCACTCAGACCTGCCTCAAAGATGAAGCTGTTAAAAATAAACTTGTATGTTTTGTTTGAGCAGATCTGCAGAGGAGGCAACCTTTATGAAGCCTTATTTTAGAAAGATTTTTGCCTTTTCAGCAGCTTTTATTGTCAGTGCTTTCCCTCCAAATGACTGGGAGGAATTCAGGAGGAATCCCTTCTTTAACTCATGCGAACTGACGACTACTAGCTATTTAAACGAGGCCTAACAAACCCGTGGCCCACTTCGGCACCTCTGTCTGATGAAGCATGCCATACATTAGTGTTCACTGATTGCCTCAATGCTTCAGTCTTGACCTGATTATTTTAAGTGGCTCCACTGAGCCGTCGACTGCTTCAAAATGTAAT